TCTATAGTGACATATTTTTTGAAGTTTGATGATTGAAATTGATGTTTTGGTAATTACTTGAACACATACCAATTGGCAGCTTTCGCAGGTGGCTGGATATCATTTCAAAGGGTAAGATTCCTTATGTTTAGCATCTCTCACGCAAATGAGTTGATGAATACTTCCTAAACGAACTCCTTTTAAGCATACGTTTGCCAGGTTCTTCCCAAGTACAGCGCCAACCCGTGAAATAAGCTTATAAATTTTGCTTTAGATATATTTTTTAAAGAAATATTTTTCTATGTAAATTATCTACGTACATTATGCAGGATTCTGCTATTAGTTAACTATTATTAACTATCATTCTATTATTAATGGTCCGTCGAGACTCTTGTATGTTTTGAACGTGATAAGTGAAACCATTCATTGATATGTCAGATTTATTAGATGTCGCAATTGATAACAGCATCGCTGCGTTTTCTGTAAGCATGTTCCTGTTCCCCAAAGTTTTCTGTCCTGTCCAATGACGGATGTGATCGCACTTCAAACGTTGTGAAAAACATACATGGTTTCTAGTTTGTCGGTTGGATGCGGCTCAGCAAATAATGCAATGAATGGTCGGTGCCCGACCAGTTACTTTGGTTTTTTGCCGATATCTGATCATTTGCATCACTTTTTGATAGTTTGTTTCACAGGGAATCCAACAGGTACCAGGTAGAGGTGATCGGCGTCGCACAACCAACATCCTGATTATAGTATAGTCGAATTAATGAGCATATAGCAAAACCTAGCGTGTTTTCTTATGATCAGAAACAGTGATAAAACAATTCATAGTAATTTTTTGAACACTGTTGTAGCAGGCTATGAACGCCTTTCTAACAGTAACATGGACCGGAGATTACAACGACTGGTGGGAAATGTGCTCTTGGGAAACGCTCTGGGATTAAACGGGCATTGACTGGAGTACTTAGCGAACACGCATATAGGAGCTAGTCTTATTACGTCTTTGTCGTATTGATATGCCTTTGATCCTGATAACATTGGTCATCAGAACTTGGTCGTATAACTTGTTTTAATTATTAGTACTTGGTGATGGCAAATTAAGTTGTTCGATGAAATAGTGGGCCGACTCATCTCCAAATGCAAATCAGTTTTCGTCAGACTGGACTTCACCTGATGGGATGGCCATCGCTGCAACAGACTCGCTCTCCAGTTGCTGCACTGTAATAGAGAATCTGATGCTGGAAACAGTTTGAATTTTCTTGTTTTGGTCTCAGATCCACTAGCTACATTTTTGAGACAGCCGCGGGTTATTCTGTTCGTCCGGTTTACATTGCGTGTTTATTCATCCCTTTTTCTTGCTGTTAGCGGTTTCAACAGTGAAGTTTCTAGAAGCCTTTGCAATAAACAGTAAATATGGGCCATGTTTCGGAGCTTCCTACCCCATCGGAATTGAGTAGTTCTAACAAAGTTGTGGAAATCGTTGCTTAATATGCATGTGTTGAGGGGTGGTGGTAAAAATGCTGAAGTTGTCATTGCTGGCAACTAGCAGGGAGGTGTCTTCTCAACTTCTATCAGCATCCCCACACTTCATGAGCTTAAAGCTTAACTAGAGGTGAAATCTATAGTTCTAACTAGAAGGTACAAACTTCCTAAATATCTACTTACATGTTCATGTATAAGTATAGGAAAGTTCCTTCGTCAGATCAATTTCCCAAACTACGTAAGCTGAATCTTCATGGATTTAAGCATGCCCTGCATGTATTTTCCGATTTTTACGTAAAGTAACCACCGTAACCAGCCATCATGAGCTTCGAGTCCAGAATTGACCATATCTCTCTTTAGTTATGGACAGTTTTCTCTTTCCGCGTATGCTTCTCTCTTGTTTTTCTTTCTCCTCCCCTGATCATCACGATCAAGATTCATCAAGATTGTTCGGGCTTCATTGTGAATTATTTGATTTTCCCGCACACCGAGCACAATCATGCCAGGCCGTTTTGCCCTTGGCAGTCTGTACGCAGTTCCTTCCCACTATTTCTTCTACGTATATCCGCCATCTCATCAGAGGTCATCCGAGTGGTCGTTTTTTTTCCCTTGGGTGCCATTCGGCAGTCGCGGTCGATCGGTTGTCATCAAGGGGTGTGACGTGGCCTGCCCAACGGATCTCACTCTTTCTCTCATGGCTTGCACAATATCTTGTACGCCACTCATTTTGCGGAGAGCTTTGTTGCCGATATGGTTACGAAGAAATATTCAAAGCATCCTTTCCTCCATTGTTCTTTCCGTCACAGCCAGTATATTTTCTTTTGCCTTCGTCGGTGCGCACTTTCGCATTCGTACTTCATTGTCTTCAGCACTACGCTGTTGAAGAAGCGAACACAGTTTTTCTGTCTGATACTTTGAGGACATCACTGATTCTATAGAATTTGTGCCATCCGGCAGCTCGTGGAACTATAGTCTCCGGTTGGAGATCGTATCGCATATTCTGTTCTTGGCCCAAGTAGACATTGTTGTTGACTTCTTCAAAATCCGCGCAGTTTACCATGCCAACACTTTGCATCACTTTCGTTTTCGTTGCGTTGATTTTAAGATCCATTTATTTATTTCGTTCATTGAAATCTTGCCGCATCACGTTCATTTCTCGAGCGTTCATGTTATTCGCGATTAGATGACGTTCGCGAAGCGTAAATGACTCAGCTGTTAGCCGTTGTTCAGACTGCCTTTCCAGTTCAATTTGGAGGCAGACATTAAAGAGCTTGGGTGATAAAGGATCGCCCGTCTCACGCTCTTCTCGATCGGTATATACATTGGGTTTGAGAAAAGCGTTATTTCATTCGAGCATCCTTTATTCGCTTCTATGATGATTTTGACATAGTTCTCATCGATTTCGTCTTCCACAGGATCTTTCAGGACAGTGTTGAGCTCTACGTTGTCGAATGCCTTCTCGTAATCGATGAAAGGGAGACGGGTGATTTATACTCCCTAGCGCGCGCTCTAGCAGTTGGTTTAGAGGAAAAGATTGTCCGTAGTGCTATATTTACTTTGCAGTCCTCCTTGTTCTCTCGGTTGCTGCTCATCGAGTGGCCCCGTGATGCGTTTGGTAATGATTCTCGTGAACAGCTGTCTCTCTCTTGGGAGAGCAAGAAGATCGGGTGATAAGTATTCAGGTAATCTTTATCGTTTATTTTTGGAGCAGAACGGTCCTCGATTCCTTCCAACTCTTAGGGATGGTCTTTTCTGTCAGGTAGTGACTGAATCTAGCGGCGAGTGCCCTTCCAGAGTGCCCACCGGTTTTCATGAGCTCAATGCTAATACCTTCGTTACCTGGAACTTTCCCACTTTTCGCCTGGAAGATTGCGTTTCTTACTTCAGTGATCGGCACGTTGAGCATTTGTTTCTTGGCCGTTCGAATTTCGGGCGTTGGTACGTCGCCATACAGATTCGCAAACAGATTCGAACAGAGCTTTCTATATAGTTCTTGCGTAACTGTTCTGTCCGTGATTCGAGGTCCATTTTATCTTTTCAACGCCGCTGCTGTTTAATGATATAACAGAAATTCATATTTGCATTTCTTCAGGCTTTGTTTTCTTTGAACCGCCGTTATTCGCCTCCGAAGACTGTAGTCTTCGAGGTCCTCCTTCAGCTTCTTATGAATTAACCTGCAGTGAATATTATACTCGACAATCCTGATTTTATCCGGCTTCAGGGTTCTTCTCTTCTGTTGCAGTTCTTTTGTCACCTTTGGACCCTCGAATCCAGTCACCGTCACAGGCCATAGTGGGGCATAAACTTGAACGATTTTGATGGTCTTGATGGAATTCAGCCGTAGAAGGAGTCCACCGACTGGGGATGAACTATGGCGGCAAGAATCAATTCGTAGA